AGAGAGAGAGAGAGAGAGAGAGAGAGAGAGAGATAGCAAGCATCAGAGACAAACAGAGACAGGAAGAGATTGAATGGAACAGAGACAGAACGATCGAAGATCCAATATTGGTCGATGGTTCGATAGTAATACAACGAGGCATAGGATTACACAATATAACAATGCTGCGCGTTCAGTTTTCAAAAAAAGAAAGCAGGACTATGCAATGCCTCTTTTGCGGACACTGCATTGGATTTCTTTTGGGGGAAAAATAAGCTTAGGTCTATGTACAAATAAGCCACTCAGTGTCAGAAATGTTTGAATGATAATGCGCCATCCTATTTCTGAAATATGTCGGCTTTATACACTACAGCTCGCAGTTTGAGATCACCAGCTGACAGAAATTTATCACTATTACGATCAATGAAACTAAAAGCAATGGGTATTTGCATTTCATGGTCCCAAGACCTAGAATACGCAGTCTGTTAATTTTTGAGAGATCAAATCCTATAATAATACGTCCTGAAGTCAGTTCAAGTCATTCTGGGTTGTTGTTGGGTTTTTTTGTGGGTTTTTTTGTGGGGGGGGGATAAATACGTATTATACAGTGCATCTAGATTTTAAGCTAGAATACTATGTGCTATTTATACGTTTCTGCTCTTTCCTGTATGTAAAGGGCCCGGAGTTTGCTTTTTAGGGGTTGAGTGCCATATGTGCTCTATATTATTTAGATAGATAGATAGATAGATAGATAGATAGATAGATAGATAGATAGATAGATAGATAGATAGATAGATAGATAGATAGATAGATAGATAGGAAATCATGTGCGCTGATTAGAGAAAGAGTTGCACAGCGCGTGGGTAAGGAATTCCGTGAGTGATATGGTGAGTGAGTGAGTGAGCGGCAAGTGCCGTGTTATGGGGTGTCCACTCACACCAGCGGCCACGCGCGCGAGCGAGAAGCACCCGAGAAAGGGCTCACGTGCGGTACGATTGTCCACTCAGCTCTGCCATTCTGTTTGGTGGAGATCTAGCGCTGGCAGATCCTGACTCTCGATTCCGTGATCGTTGCTTTAAGGTTCTGGGCGTATCACTTATTTATGGGACTACCCGCCGGTGAAGGTAAGAGCTGTTTTAACACAGGAATTAAAGTAACGTGGGCTTTTCTTCAAATTTATTTTTTTTCTTCTTAGTTTTGTTTTCCCTTTTATTCTATGACCGCGACTGATAGCTCTCCGAAAGAAACCGCAAGAGTAAGTAATGATACCAACTGAGCTAACAGAGCGCTCGCATGAGGAAGAAAAAAATAATTTGTGACGACGAAGTCTAAGAAATAATCATTCAGACTATGTATCGCGATCGTGTACATGTTCCTAACATTGTCTACCAAACAAATACAGGAAAGATACCAGAGGCTAACTTATGGTACTGGAAAATGCAAAAATTCACATTGCCATCGCCAGCAAATCACAAAGACAACACCAACGACAACAACAAGAACAGTGTCAACAAACGCCATTAATCTTAATAATCGTAAAAAAACAACAACACAATTAATGATAACAGGTGTGTTGATAGTAGATTCTAATAGCATTAATTACCATTAATTGTAATAGTAGATTCTTACAACTATAACAAAAACAACAACAATAATAACAAAAACAATAATTGTAATAATAATATAACAATACTAATATAACATTAATAATAA